TCAAAGTAATTGCATTTCAATGCTCGGCACTTTTTCAGGTTGAAGCTTTGGCATTTCAATTAACTGAGAGAGAAGGAGAATTGATTCAAGAAAAGACAGAAGTAAAAAAGCTCGCAAGTTTTCTTAAGCAGGTAGAGTATGGTATAGTTTATACCTATAAAAAAAGTATGGTACCATGAATTGCCACAAGATCCGAATAATTCTGATTGAAAAATTGGTTCACAGGCTTCAGAAGATGCTAAAAGACTCGTTGATGAAGAAAGAGCTTTTGCTAGGGCTGAAATTGAGAATGCAAGAGCAGCGGTTCAGAGGGTTGAAGAATCTCTTCAAGAGTTTGAACAAATATCCCGAGCCTCAGGAAATCAGGTGACTAACATTTTCATCCTTTAATTTCACTTTAGAATTCGCATATAATATGGCACAACCTCTCCTAAGTACTACAAGTACTACCTGAAATCAATTCAAATTTTCCTTTGAAACCTCAATTTGCAGTGACATAAGTATAAACAAGAATACTTGACCTAATATATTGTCACATTAAGACCTTTTTAGCACTATTCTTTTGTAACATTTATAATCATGCTATATAATCTTGTAGAATTTCAAATTATTACAAATCGACAAACAATCTTTTATTCCTTGATTTGTTTAAATAGTCGTGACGTTGACATTTATGTACACTGTTGAGTGATTAGGATTTGGAAGAATTGATGAAGGAAGTTCAAGAGGCTAGGCGTATCAAAATGCTGCATCAGCCTAGCAAGGTATTGGTGTCATTTTTTCTCGATCTTTTCCTTGATGATGCTGAAAGTGTTCCCCTTCAACAACTAATATATGCTTATCTACTCTTCATTTCTGTCAAGTAGTACCTTTGTGTGGAAGTGTGGCTAGGAATTAGTTGTGGCCTCATTGTTTCACTAAAAAGAATTGCGACAATGAAGATGAAGGGTTAGTAGGACGTACATGTGAAATGATTTAATTTATTCTCCGGAAAATGATGCTAAAATGTAGGAATATAAGCCTCTGTCGAGGAAGCAAATACCTAATTCTGGAAATTGTAAATCTGCTGATGGGTAGCAATACCTTGATGCCTATGCTTTGTCTTAGAACTAGAATGATGTTCATTTTTTCACATTCGATGAAATTTTCTTCATGCTTTTATGGGTGGCGTTGAAATGAAACTAAGTTTCAACTGTATTAATGATTTAAGAATTATTCACAGTTCAGTATTTTTTTTTTCCATTGGAACAGGTTATGGATATGGAACATGAACTTCAAGCATTGAGAGCTCAGCTTGCAGAGAAGTCCAAGCATTCACTACAGCTTCAGAAAGAGGTTTTGTATTCTCTTTGCAAACCTCTAAATACCATCTGCATATGTTTCATTCTTACTTTATATGCTAATAAAGACTCAAGTTCATACTTTCTACAAAAGTGGTTTTGCTAAGATATTAGCATGGTTGCAGTAGGCGCTAGGCGCTAGTCGGGCGGTAGAGTAGCGCCTAGACGGCGCCTATACAGCTAACTAAAAAAAACAGTGCATGTGTGTGAATGTATATATGTCATATTATATATATATATATATATATATATATATATATATATATATATATATATATATATATATATATATATATAATGAAAAAAAATTAGCAAGGCCGAGCCGACCGGGTTAACTTGGCTAACTCGACTGAAATGGACGAGTTAACTCGGCCGAGTTAGGCGCTAGGTGGCTGCCTAGGCGGTTGAGTCGGCCGAGTTAGGTGCTAGGCGGCCAGTCGCCTAGCGGTCTAGGGGTGCCTAGACCGATTTTTGCAACAGTCATATTAGTATACAATAAATGCTCTGTAAGGTGGAGATGAAATCGCTCTCTGACAAATAATAACTTGTTTTTTCTTCAGTTGGCAATGAGAAAGAGGGGCGAGGAGAACGCTCAAAACTTATATGAAATAGATGGAACTGAAGCACTGGGTTCATATTTACGAATTCAGCCCTGTTCAAGTGTAGCTCCAGAGGTTTCAGAATTTTCAATTCAGTGGTATCGCTTAGCATGTGAAGGGGGCAAAAAGGAGCCTATTTCAGGTATCTGAGCACAAGTTTTCCCATCCACTTGAAAGCATGTTACAAAATTATAAAAAGTGGATTATTACTTAACTATGCATGTTTCCTAGTATTAACCAATTGTCCACTATCCAGGGGCTACCAAACCCAATTATGCACCAGAGCCATATGATGTTGGACGGGTATTGCAAGCTGATATGACACTAGACGACCAAATATTAACCGTGTCAACCACTGGTCCTATTGATCCAGGTTGCTATTAGCTCATAAATATATAGTTAACTATATATATTGAAAAAAATATTTTATTTCATAAATGTTCTTCAGTTTTAAATTTGTTATATTTTGGTAATGCAAACCCCTTCTGTATTTCTGGGCATTAAAGGAATAATCTCAAATAACTGTTCTCCTATAACAGCTGCTGGACTGGGAAACTATGTTGAAGCATTGGTGCGAAGGCATGAAACTGAGTTCAATGTATGTTGCCCACTTTGTGGAAAATTTTCACATTATAAAGGAATGTAGCCCTGTCATGTTTTTTTTTTGTTTTTTGTTTTTGTTTTTTGTTTTTTTTTTTTTGTTTTCTTGTTTCAATTATATAATTTATTCACGTAAAAGATGCACCTAGCTAGTTTCTAATATGCGGTTACTCCTCTATTAAAGCTCTTCCTGAGTTAATGAAGGTTCTTTTCACTATTGAAAAAGTAGTATTGTGGGGGCAACCCCTATCAAGTTGGTCAAACTGTCGACTTGGTAACCAGAAGGTTCCAAGTTCGACTCCTAGTGGGAGCGGCCTATTGGCTTTCTTGGTTTGAGTTGACCAGTTATGGATAACTTAGGTTGGTTTACCTTCTTGTGGTCCTTTTCCGGCTAGGGTCACAAGGTTGGATTTACCCAGTGACCACCCTCGCGTAGTGGCTGCGGGTTTCCCTTGTCACCCTAAAAAAAAGTACCATTGTGTTTCCAAAATTTTACCTGGGATTTTCATACTAAACAAGTCACATTAGTCGGCTTCAATATTTGTATTGTTCTTATTGCCTGCATATTGTTTGAGTACTACTGACTTTGTTACAATGTAGTATCAGTTCATATCTACTTTCTCAACCTATTGAAGCACAAGAAGTCAATACCGCCCCCAATAAGGCTCGAACCCATGACCTCCCATTTGGGAGAGTCAGTTCATATTGCCTGCATATAGTCATATATCAATACCTAAAAACGTCTTTTCAAAATTTTCATGTATGTTATTGTCGTTTTTTGCAGGTAGTTATTGTCCAGATGAATGGTGTGGATCAACCTTCACAGTGTATCCATGTATTGCACATTGGAAAGATGAGAATAAAACTTTGTAAAGGGAAGACAACTGTGGCAAAAGAATACTATTCCACTTCAATGCAGGTATTCATCATATTCCCCTTTTCTCCCAATTTAACTTTCACTTCACTTCCGTTAGATTTTTGTTAATCATATAGTTTTACATGATGGAACTAAGGGATTTGGCGTGTCATTAAGGATTTGAAGAGGCCCTTTAATTGAGTGAGTTCAATAAGTAAACTCAGAAATGGAGGCCGGCAGGAAATATCTTGGTCTGAATTAGTGATAAGATCCCGGGAAGTGGAAATTCGTGTTGCCACATATACTAAAAGGATTAGTATTTAGTATAGAGGGACACTTTTAACAAACATCCTTTGACATCATCGTATGCCATTGTTCTAAACGTATTTTGTCATATGTTTTCTCATTGTCAGCTTTGTGGAGTTAGAGGTGGCGGGAACGCTGCTGCTCAGGCAGTGTTTTGGCAGGCAAAGACGGGTGTTTCCTTCGTCTTGGTGTTTGAAACAGAGCGTGAACGAAACGCAGCTATTATGCTGGCTAGACGATTTGCATACGATTGTAATGTAAGTGTTGTAAATTTTCGTTTCCCTTTGTCGAACAAGATAAAAGATTTATTACTAACAGGCAAGGTTGAAAAAATCGCTAAGCGCCCTCTAGGCGCCTGGGGGGTGCCTAGCGCCTAGACGCTGATTTATTTATTTATTTTTTTAAAAAATTAGTTAAATCCCGCCTAGGCCGCCTAGTCCACGGCGAGCTACTTGGCGCCTAGGTGGCCGACCACCTAGAACGGCGATTCCGCCGAATTTCTTGGCAGCCGGCCAGCCGCCTAGGCGCGATTTTTGCAATAATTGCTAACAGGTTTATATGGGTTTATGCTTATCTAAAAAGCAAAAGAAAGGAGCGCGGTAGAACTGCTTATTAACACAAAATCGTTGAATGTGCAGATCACGCTCGCAGGGCCTGAGGATAGAACTGCTCATTAAACTCGAGAGCCGAGGCCTTTCTCAGAATGTGTAATTATACTGATTGTCTAATATATGGTGTATCTATATGCTTGTAGTGAGATTAGACTATGATCATGATGTGGGTTTTCTCTGCCCTGCTGTTTTTGTTTTCATTTTCAATCATCTCAGGCATTCTTTTATTTGCCTCCATTCATTTTTTTTTTTTTTTTTGTTTTTTTGTGGCCTTTTTCATCCTCTCAAGTCCAGTCAAGTGAATGTGATGACTATAAATGGGTTTAAAACCTATTTTGTAGTTTGGTATTTCTTTGTAACAGTGGGATTAATATGAGAATGTCTATGAAATTCAATATTTGCATCACTTTAGTCCCTTTGTTTATTGCTGAAATTATGTAATTCAAAATTCCCTTTGTTTATTGCTGAAATTATGTAATTCAAAATTTCACTAAACGGGAAAATCTGCAATTGCAACCTGAAGATGCATAATGGATGAAGCCTGCCTGTCGAAGCATAAGATGATAAGTTTAAGTTGTCTATATGTGATAAACAGTTCTCAACGGGAGTTGAATTTGGAATTTTGTAGTTATCAAGACAATAATCTGATCAATTTGACTGAGATTGTCAAACCATATATCCTTGGTATGAGCTTGAAAATTCTATTAACATAAACAAAAAACAAATTGTGATCCATTGAACATAACCAAAAAATTGGGATAAGGATTATTAGAATAGGTATTGAATGGTTTATAATTAGATGTACAAATTTTCATCTCCAAGAACCAAAATCAATAGATTGAAGTGAAATATTACCAAGAAACAGATCTTTCAGATGATCATTACACAACCCAATTCTCCTTGTATGTAAACTAGGATGTATGCAACTGGAAAATCCTGTCTTCCAACCTGGGAACTTTTGTCTTTCCATCACATGAAGAGTGTATACACGTGGAGCAGCAGCCATGCATCCTGTAACGAAGCAGTTGCAGGGTCGCGACTGGCTCACCATTCTTGCTAAAGACAGTAAGCATATGCCACTGTACGATATTCCATACGTTAAGGAATCATCGTTATCAGATGTCTGAGAAGTCGATGCTTCGTTCGTTAGCTCAAGCTCAACCTCATCAGTTGAAGGGATTCTGCTTAGCTCTGAATCGAACTTTTTCTCTATCACCTTCTCATGTATTCTGTACTTCACTGCCAGTGTTCTGATGCAAGACATCCTTAGTTGATTACAAATAATGAACTTTACTTCATTAAAGTTGTCAAACTCACTGTACCATCTGAGTAGCCGCTTAACTATACCCGAGAACCAATCGATAATGTGATTGTGGTCCAGAAAAATGAGCATATGGCATGCATGAGGAAACCCATCAGAGTTTGTCAATCCATATCGATAGAGACGCTTCTTAATGGTGTTGACCGGGGCTATAATCTGAGTTCTAAATGCAGATTCAGATGAAGAATCGGCATTAGGCAAAAGTGCGAGAGTTGAAGCTGTTTCAGAAGAAATATATTCATCAACGCACTTCTGGAATTCATAAAAGGAATCTCTTAGCTCTTGGGGAAGGGATGGTTCTACCAAGTGTTTAGATAAGATAAACTCCTGATTCTCTGCACTTTTAGCATTTATGTCTTGCATCCAGACTTTCAATAAGACTTTGAACCAGTGATCGGTTTCCATTCCAGCTTTCCGGAAATGGGAAACTTTGCTCAGAGTAGAGCTATTATCAGCTAAATGTTTGATCTCTGATTCCTTCACCTTCTTCAGCCCGTGTGCTAGACACTTCTTGCCAATTCTAATTGTCCCTGCATCCCACGCCTCTTGTTTTTGCAACGCAAATAGCTTGACCTTTTCCTTCAACTTGTGAACTGCTTTTAGTGCAGGACTCTCTATCAGGCTTCTTTTAACTACACAACCGAGGAACCGAATTCCATTATGCCCATCGCATGGCAAAATATCTATATCATTATCAACTTCCAAATGGAGAGAATTCTTCAAGAAATCTTGCGTCTCAGACTTCAAAGCAACAGCAACTTCTTTGTGACCTGACACAGCAATAAAAATCTCATCCATAAAACGACAACTATGCACCCTAACACCAGAATATCCCCCGGTATTAACTTCTACAGCACCACCGCCATTCATTTGCCTCCTAAACCAACTACGAAGCTTAGACAGGTTTGCATCTTCTTCAGTCTTCGGTCCAGTATCAAGAGCTTCATATCTCATTGACATTCTGTACATTTCTCGGTCAAAGAGGTCAAGATATATATTCATCAATATTGGAGACAAGCTTCCCTCTTGTGGAAGACCATGTCCTTTAGGAAAGCCACCGAATTCTAAATTCAGCACCTGGCAATCAAACATGCTACGAATGATAGCAAATAAGCTGGGATCCTCAATCTTATCTTCCATCACTGATATGAGTTTAGTAAGGATGCAATCGTCAAGCTTTTTATTAACGGGTAATGTGAACCACCAGTTGGCATTCTTCATATCCTTGCAGATGTATCTAAGAGCAGACAAGTGACTTCTTCCACTTCGGCAACCATGTGAAATCTTGGAAAAGTGAGGTCTGTAAACAACTTCCAGCACTATTCTAATAGCTTCCTGAACAACTCTGAGCTTAACATTCGGAAGAATAAGTACTTCTTTCTTAGGCCCCCTTGTTGCAATTGAATATGTGTTAGCACTTACATCGAAATGTCCAAGAGATAACTCTTCTGCCATGGCTTCAAAAGGCAAGTCATCCCCATCCAACGCTAGATCAACATTAGAGTTCAGTCTAATACAATCATAAGCATCCCGAAGAGTCTTGTGATCACCAATCAATTTTGCCATAAGGTCCTTAAACTTCCCATTCATGTACTGTTCCTTCACCTTCTTCTTTATTTGCCGCTCAAGAAACCTCTTCTGCTCCATCCTAGACATCCGTTTTGTCTCCTTAACTATAGAAGTCTCCTCAACCAAGCTTGCCAAGTTCTGAGCTAACGACATTCTGGATTCTTCATCCCGAAGAACAGAAGATTCCTCAACCAAAGAGGCTAAACCGGTTGCCAGTTTGCCATAATCCTTATTATGATTATTACACAAATCTTCTCGAACAGTCGAATAAAATGAGACACCTACATGTCTTTTGATAGGATTCCCTGCAACAAGTATTAAACAGAACATCTAAGAGGTTTTATCTTCATTTATCCCAGTCCCAGAGAAACAAATACTAAGCAAACTTTTAACTTATTATTGAATAGTCAGAGAAGCTTACTCGTTTCCTCTATAAACAATGAAAATTTGGTACGGTAGCTGAAAAGATGCAATCTTGCAAGTTTCCCACATTTGCACAACATAGTATCTTGTGCTGATAGTACCCTGCAAGCAAGTCCCTAACTTATCTGAAGTCTTCTAAGTTCTAACAGACCTTTTAGCAAACACATGATCGGCATTGCACAGTGAGAGAGTGAGTTACCTTCCTATTACTATTCTATAATCACATAATCATTAATGATGCTTGACGCCTCCTTTGTCTCGTTTCTCACGCAAAACACCACACCGGGAATCAGAATTTCCAGTTTTCATACAGTAGTAGGTAAAGTCAGGACGGCAGAAAAATCGTTTCTATATTCCAGTCAACCTATGCAAATCCTATCCAGCTAAGAATGCTGAATCTTAGCTCTTCTACTTTTCTCTCTCCTTCGATCTCCCTCAGGTACGAGAATTTGTCTCTACCCAAGTCATCGCCGGACTTCACGAACATTCTTGTCTCAAATCGCTTGTTTTTAAGTTACGTCGAATCTGGGAATCATTAGAAGATAATAAAATAAGCAGTAATGAGAGAAATGACATTTTTCTATTAAAAACAAGTTAATTCTATTTTTTATCATAGATTTATAAATGATAGTTCACTTTTATAGTTATTTTTTATCAGAATATTCTCATTTGATCATAATATTACACTATTATTATATCATGATCATTTTTAGTCTTCCATTAACAAAATTATTAAATATTATTAAATACAATGACATTTTGATTTTTTATACAAAGTAAGTTATTCAGCTATATTTTTATGTTTTTTTTTTTTTAAAAAATCTATAATTAAAGATCGAAATGCTTTTGAAATCAAGAAATTAAAATACACAAATTTCCACTCAAAAAATAATTCAATCGTGCATATATTATTAGTATATTAAAAAAAGAATAAAAATCGCCAAATAACTTTACATCCAAAGTGAAATCAAGAAAATACATAATAAAATTAAGAAACATACTTGTTTGAGCTAGGACTACTGGTTATAGCTCGGGAGGATGAGTATGTTATAATATATGAACTACTATATATCAAAATGATACTATGTGTGTGGTCCACTGATACCTAGTTACTCTCTTAAGTGGGAGGTGAAAGATTTGAACCTCAGTTGAAGCAAGTAATGTGTATATATATCTTCCTTATAAACAAAAAATGCTACTATGTCTTTATTCTTTAAAGACTGAGTCAACCATTATTATAATAAAATAATTCAAAAAAAAACATTTTCCCACAAGTAATTATTAAACATGAAAAAATTTTCCCACAAGTAATTATTAAACATTAAAAAATAAAACAAAGCCACCAAACTATAAAAACAACGTAATTGTTACGAGTTATTACTATGAACTTATGAATTGGCATGGCCATTTATTAGACTTTTGTTCTTTTTAAAAAGTCAACAACTTCTTTGTAACGTCACAGCTATGTCATTGTCATACGAAGAAATTGCATGCGAAATTTTCATAAGATCAACCCTATTAGGGGTTTTAAGTGATTTTTTTACCGAGATAAAAATTTAGTGTTGCTTTTTTGACAAATGGAAGGAGAATTTTAAGTACTCTGTAATTTTTTTTTCCTCGTGCATGGCATTTCTATCTTGACAAAGACACCATTATCAAAAAAATTAAAAAAAAAAAAAAATGTCAGCGGCTACACGGCTACACGCCTCCACCTAGTCACATAACGTAATGTCATTATGTCAATTTTAATAATTTTATAATTCAAATAATACTTTAAATAGTTTAACAATCTTTTCAAAATAAATATTCCATAATGTTAGTGCTTCATATATATATATATATACTTCCAAAAAATCGCGATTACGCAATAGATTTATAAACCGGATGAACATTGCTCAACGTATAACTGTAAACCAATAAACCATAACCCCCCATATATAAATGTACGTGTCCAACACACAACGAAATTCCCAACCATTTTACTCAGTCAAAATAATGCAATTGAGCTATACGATAACGACACTGGAAACTTGACAAAATTTCCCCATTCCCATCTAAATATTTCTTCCTCACATTTATCTTATAATATTCAATTTTTAACGTGATATTATTATTATTTAATTTTTAATTCTTTTTTCAATTAAAGATCGATGCCAATGAATCGGGTTGTTTCAAATACCCATCCTCATAAGATAAGCAAATTATACTATCGATCATGGTCTACATTGTAATGTGTGTATTGATAAATGTTTATTTTTAGTGTAATGAAAGTTTATTATTAGTGCATTGAAAGTTCATTTTTATGCGATATATCAAATAATAAATTTTTACGGGACATTCGGTTGGAAGGGGAAAATGAATTGTATTTCCATTAAAAAAGAATAAGGTGAAAATAAATTAGGAATTCAAATTTTATTTTTTGGTGGTAGAATTACTAGGAAGTGTAAGAGAAGAAGGGGTATAAAGAGAAAAATGCGCTTGTGTAGTAATAGGTGGTGGTGGTGGTGTAGACTTAGTCCATAAATTATTGCTCTATACAATAACTTTTCCCCTTTAATTATGTTGAACATGGTTGTTTCAATCAATTACTTAATAAATTTTGTTAAAATTAAAAAAATTATTTTAATTTGTCAAATTATTAGAGTACAAATTAGTCATTTTATAAATGAATGTTGGATTTGTTGGATTTTATAAATGAATTTCCAGTATAACAAAATAAGCTTTTCACATTGATGATTTCAAATGAATGTTGGATTTGTTGTAATGTTAATTAACGAGAAGGCAACCAAATCAGTTGGTCTGCCTTCTCCTTTACCGGAGAAAGCAATCAAACAACACCGGCAACCGTTTAACCAGTGTCTTTTGCCAGAATATGGTCTGCATTAATTATAAGTCATCAATCAATTTTTGAGTCCAATACACTAAAATAATATGTTTAAGAATTTAATTATAACGTTTAAAATTTTAAGAACCTAATTGAGTAATGTTCGGAGCCTATATGACCATTTCCTTAAAAAAAAAATCTCGTGTTTATGTCGCAGAACTACAACTGGACACATTCTCCGAGTGGGACCCAAGGCTGACCATTTCTTTCTTTAAATAGAAGACAAGAAGGAGAAGCGTCTGTGTGAACGTATTAAAAGGAAGATGTTAATTTTTTTCTGCACCTTGACTGAAGACCCAACCAATTCTCTCTCTCTTTCTGCATAAAGAAACAAGAATGGGCTCACAGTTAATCCCATTCTGGGACTTGTCTTCTCTACTCTCCTCCTTCTTCCTCAGTTTCCAAGTTTTTGGATATGGGTATTTGCCTGGGCAAACCAGCAAAGCTTGCTCATGCTTCTTCTAGCTTATTTGCTGGTATGTATAGTATAGTATAGTATCAACTCTGCAATCATTTTCTCTTCTGTTTACACATAAAAAAAAATTTGTTTAATTTGTATCTCTTGCTTGGATTGTTTAATTTTGTTCTATATATTGAGTTATTGAATTGCATGCAGTGATGATTGTGTGTGTGTGAATATAATGATGATCAATTTTGGTTCGATTCTTGCCATGATTAGGGGTTTGGGTTTAAGTTAGGATCCTTGTGTGCAGAATGTTGTTTAGGAGTCCACCAATGTTGTTGTTTGGGGTGTAGGGGTTTGGTTCTTGCCATGATTAGGGATTTGGGTTTTAGCAACAAAGTGGTCGGAAATAGCAACAAAGGTTTTTCCGGATACCAAAAGTGGTCGGGACAAGGCTTTCAACTTGATTTAAGATCACTTTCAGTGGTCAAAAATTTCATAATTTCCAGCAGTATTGTGCTGTTTAGGGGTCGGGGTTCGATTCTGGCTATGAACAATGGGGATTTTAGGTTTGGGTTGGACTCTTTGTGCATAGAAGTATCCCGTATTGCGTGCATATATTGTACTGGTTGCAGCTCTTTCAGTCCACCAATCACTGCTGAAAATTATGAAATTTCCGATCACCTGAAAGTGATCTTAAATCAAGTCGAAAGCCTTGTTCTGACCACTTTTGGTATCCAGAAAAACCTTTATTGCTATTTCCGACCACTTTTTGTTTTCGACTTGATTTAAGATCACTTTCAGGTGGTCGGAAATTTCATAATTTCTAGTAGTGAATGCTGCTGTTTTTGTGTTTGTGTTTACTTCTGTTCAATGTATCTTCATCTGTCAAAATCAGCTTAAACTATATTAGATACTTATATGTTTCACTTTGCCTTCCAGAGAATAAGACATCTTCTCCATCTGAGAAGAAAGGATCCATCAATTCCAGCCAGCCAACGCCCAATGGCACCGTGGCCAGTTGCAATCCCCCTGCCTTAAGTAACCTCAAGCCTTTTGCCTTCAACGACCTAAAAGTTGCGACTAGGAATTTCCGGTCTGACAGTCTTCTCGGTGAGGGAGGTTTTGGCTATGTCTTCAAAGGATGGGTAGATGAAAACTCGTTCACTCCCTGCAGACCGGGAACCGGGATGGTAGTGGCTGTAAAGAAACTTAAGCCCGAAAGCTTCCAAGGTCACAGAGAATGGGTTGTATGTTTCTTTAAGCCCCTATGAACTTTTCGTTTACCACTTCTTTGCTCTGTATGGTAATTGAACTTTATTTCTTTACCAGTCGGAGGTTAACTACTTAAGCCAGCTTCATCACACGAATCTCGTGAGGTTGATCGGGTATTGCTTGGAATCTGAAAACAGGCTTCTGGTTTACGAGTTCATGCCAAAAGGAAGCTTGGAAAACCATCTATTCCGGAGTGAGTAAATCTGTATCTATAAGATGATCTTGTTTCTATAAAACGTTTATGTTATCGTGCCTTGATATATTCCAATTCTATATGCAGAAGGAGTTCAACTAATGCCTTGGTCTATTAGAATGCGTATTGCTGTTGATGTTGCACGAGGTTTATCCTTCTTGCATGGTCTCAATGCGAATGTGATCTACCGTGACCTTAAGGCTTCCAACATTCTTCTTGATTCGGTATATATGCCAATGGATTTCGATGAATAATGACACTGTTGTTTGATTTCCATTTTCAGTTACATGACTTTTTATCGAACTTCTGCAGGACTTCAACGCAAAACTTTCTGATTTTGGCCTTGCGAGAGATGGTCCTGTTGGAGACAAGTCTCACGTTTCGACTAGAGTAGTAGGAACTCGAGGCTATGCTGCACCCGAATATGTAGCCACAGGTTAATTTCTTCCTCGACTTCTGCTTAAACCAGCTCGGCTCAAACCAAGAAGGTCAATAGACCGCTCCCACTGGCTGTCGAACTTGTAACCTGGTGGTTACCAAGTCAACAGTACGACCAACTTGGTTGGGGTTGCCCCTCCTGCTGGTTCTTTTGCATTTGCATAATCTTTTAGCCAAGGTTGAAAAAATCGCTAGGTGCCCTCTAGGCACCTGGGGACCGCCTAGAGCGCCTAGGTGGCCGACCGCCTAGCGTCTAGGCGCAATTTTTGCAACACTGCTTTTAGCAAAAGTAGACCTCTTCAAACACCTAAACGAAATGATTCATGACAGGTCACTTGACTCCAAAAAGCGACGTCTACAGCTTCGGGGTAGTTCTGTTAGAGCTGCTATCAGGAAAGCGAGCGTTGGGCGACGAGAGCGTAGGGGGCGCCGAAGAAACCTTAGTCGACTGGGCGAGACCATCTCTAAACGATAGCCGGCGAGTCGTGAGAATCATGGACACCAGGTTGGGTGGTCAGTATTCTAAGAAAGGTGCCCAAGCTGCAGCTGCCCTTGCCTATAAGTGCCTCCACATAGACCCAAAAGCAAGGCCACCCATGGCAGATGTTTTAGCTGCACTGGAACACCTCCCAGGACCAAAGGATGCATCTAGGGCAACACAACAGAAGATGGGTCACTCTCACAAGACAGTAAGAGCCCCCACAAACTCCAGATAGTACTATTTGCACTACTCCTAGTCCTAGGTAGCAGATAAAAACTTTAAATGTTTTTGTACTAGTTTTAGTTTTATGTTGGAGTTCTAGTTCTATTATGTATGCATATTTAGTGACTAGATGTAACATGTGGAATGTAAATGCTACTGTAAACTACCAAAAGGACCCTGTATGTATACATTCTTTTATACATTATGGATAAGATATGGTCCAGTTTTTTGTCATATGAGTGATGACCACCAATATAATATAAGACTAATTTGGATTCAGTTCGAATTGCACTATCAGAGTTTTACTCTTACTCAAGTGTAGTATTGTAAAAATCAATCTAGACAGCCGCTTAGGCGCCCCAAAGTCGAGGCGATTTGAGTTGGTGCCCGACTCGACCGAATCGGCAGCGCTCAACTCAGTCGAGTGATTTTTTTGCTTGCTTGACTGCTCCTCTTTTATAATATTCCTCTAACCATGTACTCAACAAACCATCTAATATATGTAGCTGACTAGTTTGAAGAATTATTACAGTCTAATAACTCACAGCCCTAAGTGAAAAATATGGAGACAATACACTTGGATTACTCGGCAGCCTAGGTGGCACATAAGCACCGCCTAGGCGCTAAGCGTCCCCCGACTAGCACCTAGCGACTTCTGCAACATTACTGATTGCTGAAGTGTAAGATCTAACCCAAAGCTCTTTAACACGACGAAAGACACTTTTCCGACCTTACAGTTGCATTAACAATTCGCTTTAACATGACATGTATACAATTGCAATTTGCAATCACTGAATCAATCAATCACATTAACAAGCATACACAGTATACAAAATTCACATCAACACTTCAACAGGAGGACTACAGGAGCCATCTCTGCTTTCCACTGCCTATAATAAAGGAACAACAAAGTGAATTTCCTAATTCTCTCATGGGAGAAAAAGGTCCCATAAAAGACCAAAAATAAATAAATATAGAACATAAGAGAATGAAGACCAAGGCCTGAAAACAAATGGGTAGCAATCATGGTTGGCAAATTCTATGTTGTTTCTTGCATATCTTCTTCAGTTCTCCAAACTACATCTTCAAGGCAAGTAGAAAGGTTCTTGTAAAACTGCAGGAAAAAAAGGTCATGAGTTAGACTAGCTAATTGGTTGGATTCAACTTTTTAGTGTGGTCTGGCCTAGTTGATTCTATCATGGTTAGTTATAATTGCCGAGCTTATCACGGAACACATACCTTGTGGAATTCCAACGTGTCTCCTTTAGCCTTTCGCACCTCGACCAGGTGAAGAGAGGGGGCAACTTGGAATACCTCAGTTGAAACATTAAGGTTTCCTTTTCTTCCCGCTTTAATGTTTTCCAGCCGCATCTAAAGACAAAACGTAAGATATATAGAGTAATTATTTTCTTCCATTATCTTAGGATAAAGGTATACATTATATTGCACAAGCTATATTCTTTATATAGAGTGGTCCAAATTGCACATTACCTTGTAATTCTTCTTTCGAACATCAAAACCGAGGGGCTTTGCAGCTTCTTCTATCTTAGTGATTATCTCATTTGCGGGGCATTTAGAAGTGAACCTTGTTTCCCTCTTGAATCCCTATGAACAATGGATCACCGATCACGGAGATGAAGGATAAAGAAGACTAATTCACTAATTTCCACATTAACGAAAGATAACCCCTTATTCCTATCCTAATACTAAGCACAGCATCTCCCTTAGGCTTGGATAAGAATAGGCTCGAGAAAAACCAGAATAAGTTTCCGTGCTTTTGAGTTTTACGTTGCATTGTTTTTCAATTAAAATTATAGATAAAGAAGCATAAGTATAGAAGAAACCTTTTCATCAAAGAGATTTCCAAGATCGAGCCCTTTTGACATAGAAATTAACTCGAATGCATTCATTGCAGTTGGCTGCTCTTCCTTTTTCTCCGTAACATGATGCTCCTGTTACAATTAAACAAAAAAAGATGTGAATTTCACGAGTTATAAATCCCGTTATTGTTTCAAGTACACTCTGAAAGTAAACTCGTTTTGTAAACAAAACTCACTTGAGAATCCTTAAAAACAGCTTCCACATCATCCAGGTTTGTGTCTTCTTTCTCATAAAAAACGGCAGGTTTATAGTCTTTCTTAAACCACTCATCTTCCAATATCTCAGGAATGGTAATTCGCTGCACAGTATAAAAACACGATGAATAAAAGCAAACGCAAGGAGAAATCAAATTTTATGCTAATGTGAATTACGGGTTTTTTTTTGGCCTTGTCTTAGAGGGTTTACTTTCTACTGAAACAACAAAAATAGATACTGCATTGTAACAGAGTCAGTAGTACTAAAAAAAAAAGATGCACTCACAGTCACAGGGTTTGGATCCAAAATTCGAGTAATTAACTTCATGGCGCTGAAGGAGATCCAGGGCGGGCAAGTAAACTCAGCGCAGGATATCTGCATGTCACATAATAGAGATTTAGTGAAACTAACCAAAAAAAAATTGGAATTTTTAGCATAAGATTGTGAAAAATGCTCACTTTTTTATATAGGTTCATAAGATTAGGATCATCAAAAGGCAAGTATCCTGCAAGCAATACAAAGAGTATGACTCCACAGGACCACAAGTCCGCAGCTGACCCATCGTAACCTTGATCATCTAAAACCTAAGAGAGGAACTTCATTACTCAAGACTAGGTGCAAAGGAACAAAAAAAACGACGCACTCTTCTTACATCCCGGTGTTGTTTATACCTCAGGAGCAACATAGTTTGGAGTTCCACAGGTGGTGTGAAGTAAGCCGTCATCCTGTTTAACGCAGTAAATCAGATTAAGTTTCATATGTCTTTTGAATCTAACCAGTTGACCACTTGAACGTGGACCGGACAGGCTCTGATACCATGTTATAATCTAAAAAATTGAGCTAAGGTCACTCAATTGGGATATAATACACATGGGTCAAACCACACTAAAAGACTGAATCCAGTCAATTAGCTAGTTTAACCCATGACCTTATAAACCCATATGTTCTCTCTTATTTTTTCGATGGGGACGGGATAATCATGTAATTACCCTGATTTGCTGGGACAGAGCACTCAATCCAAAATCAGAAACCTTGAGATTCCCAGAAGCATCCAATAGTAAATTCTCTGGCTGCACAATCAAATGAATGCAGAAAGACGTAAATAGTCATGTATTAACCGGCCCCGAGAGAGCAACAGCAATAGGACGCTTGTCTAGCTAGCTATTTCACCGAACAATGCAAAAGTAACAGTATCAAACCTTCAAATCTCTGTGGTAGACTCCCCTGCTATGGCAATAATCAACCGCGTTTATAAGTTGCTGGAAATATTTCCTCGCCTCATCCTCCCTCATCCGTCCATGATTTACCTTTGTAGTCAAGAAATTACGTAAAGAGTAAGTCCAATCAGAGATTATACCATTATTTTGTGTGTATAGCCAAGTTTCATCCTGAAAATGCCAGAATCACGGGGATAAAAAGGAAGAATATGCATACAATTTTATCAAACAGCTCTCCACCGGTAACAAATTCCAAAACGATGAATATTTTGGTCTTGCTCGCCATAACCTGAAGGTATAATGAAGTACAGGTGTCAATGAAACGGTGGAAAGAATGTTGGATGTAAGTTTCATTTTTTCCACTTAACGAGTTTGAATCTCTCTGTCAAATAACATATTTCCGGACTAAATTATATGTATTCAACAGATGAACCTTATATAATGCAACATAACAGTTCCTAACCAAATTATGTCGAGATCTGCCCCAACCAAACAGCCTAGAAACCTTATATATTTGAACATTTGAAATCAAGCATAAAATAATATATATACCTCATACAAGCGAACAACATTTGGATGTCTTATTAGCTTCATTGTAGCTATTTCCCGCTTGATCTGTCAAAATTAAGCATATAGCACATTTGAAGCATAGCATTACAATCAATAACCCGAATGTGAGAATGTCACATAAATTATGCAGACAAATATCGAAATAGAGGGCTCAGAAACTAACCTGTTCCGCCATTTTGTGCTTTAGGACCTTATCTTTGTCGAGAATCTTCAGAGCAACATGTTCTCCAGTCTCGGAATTCCTCGCAAACTTAACTTTGGCAAATGATCCCTCGCCTATTGTCCGCCCGAGTTCATATTTACCAACTTTACGCTTGATTTTCGGTTGATTCATGATCAAGAAACTGGTGAAGTCTTGTTAAAATCGCAACTCCTACAGCAGCAACTGCATGTTTTTTCGCACTTTCTGTCAGGTTCCAGCTGATTATATAACAAATTACTAAAAGCTAATAACAAGTTCAACAAAATACAACATGTTTTGCTTCTGTTAATGCTGACAATCTTGAAAATCAAAGTAAATTCTTTTCTAGAAGTCCTCCACATTCAACATGGGTTTGATCAATTGGGATTAAAAGAATTGATGAAACTTCCTGGCAGCCTTTCTGGGGATAGTCAAAACCTATAATAAACTACCTAATCTCTGTTGATTTGAAGTTCACATTGCCCATTTGCCCCTACCCATTATTCAACTAAAAGCAGTTGAATAGCAATAACACATTTCTCTTTTGTTTATTCCACTGGGGAGAATCAAGATGTCTCAGCCTTCTGATTAATTAATTGCCTCATAATAGTTTAGACTGTTTCAAGTGATTAAAAAACAGAGATTTAATTTTAAAAAACAAAAACAAAGAATCTATTGTAAATGTGGACAATCAGCAGGCAATGATAAGGAGAGAGAAAAAGATCCCCTATCAATAGCACTATCATGCAATCCAGCCAAAAAAAAGGAGGAAATTTTCAATTTGAGTTCAAAAAACCCCAAGAAATTAGTGCAAAAGAAAAAAGAAAAAAGAAAAAAAGTGATGTTTAACAAGAAAATGGAGTCCAAGAATAGGCAATGCAGAAATCAAGATCAAGACCAAGAAAGGCAATAAAGTTTGAGTCTTTTATCAGAGTTCAAGGGACCCAAAAGCAAAACCCAGAAAACCCAATACTTAAAAAAGAGAACTTTTAGAATTTAGAAACACTCACAAACAAGAATGGAAGAATTGGAAGACACAACTCTCAATTCCCAAGAGGAACAAAGCCCAGACAAGAATGAAGATCGAAAACCCAGACAAGCAATTCCAAGGGTTATCAGCACAGGTGTACAACCATCACCAAACCAAAAAGGTGGTTTGAAAAGACTCAAAAAGTGAAAAAAAAAGAGAGGGAGGTTTACACTGTATGGAGAATAGATGGGAGTGTGGCAGATAAGAACGAAAGGTGGTGGTACTGCCTTGAGCCTTGGTGGCGGTGAGCTTTATGATAAGCACGGTGTAAACCGGCCTTTGGAAGAGTTGTTGGGGCAGAACAAAATTATCCCCAGCCCCGACGCGGAACAGGACTAATCCGATTAGAACAATCTCCCCATCTGAATCATATCATGTGTATATATGGCCCTGCACAGATCCACTCCCGCAGACAAAATCTTTAAAAACAATTGAAAATTATGAAAAAAAGCAGAAATGTGACAACCTATGTCTCTCCCTGATCTATAGTCTAGACAATTCGTCAAATTAACTCTTTCTTCTTTACTTATTTTTATTAGTATTTTCTTATAATTTTTAAAATTTTTTAATAGTGTTTTTAAATTTTAATATAATTTCTAAATGTATAAAATTTACATACTAATTCTAAAATAAATATTATGAAAAATTAAATTATAAATTTCAGTCAAACATCATTAACCGAACGCGACAAATAAAAATTGACAGAGAGAGTATTTATCAAGTAACCTAGCCACGTTCTAGGTAATCATAATGTTATAAGTTTAACTCATAAAATTTATTTGGTGCCGGGTAATAATTGTGGTTTTTCTTATTAGATCACTCAATTTTTTTTATGAACAGTCCCAATTAAGTTAGTCTGATCATTGCCTTGATTATCACAAATTTCTTGATTTAGTCAACTATAAACAACTTAAATCCTTGACAACCCAACTGGGTAGCTCAAGTAAAAAATGTGCTCTCTTTAGTGGATAGGAGAGTAATTCACAAAATTAATTTGAGTAATAATTGTTGATCCATAATTGAGAATTAACATTGCAATAATTATGTTATGTTTTAACATTAATTGATTGGAGATAAATTTAAAATTCAGAATCAATATTTACATTAATATCTACATCTGCTACTTCAACACTATAAATAAACCACCATCCACAGGACCACAACCAATATTACAATTATGTTTTGGTCGTGGCTAGAATTAGGAGGATGGTTGTGGCTAGAATAGGGAGAAGAATATTTCTGGGAGTTTAGGTTTCTTATAGAGCTTTATACTGTGTGATCTGGGGAAGATGAATCAAGAAATGCACAGTAAACATGAAGAAAAAGCTGAGGATAAAAATCATACCTTGCTTCTGAACCTAGGGCTTTGATTCTTGGAGCTGTTCTTTCTTGGAAGCAGAGGCAACTGTTAGTCGTAGTTCAAGAACGCGAAGAAGAAGAAGCAGCAGCTTACGTAAAAAGACTATTTTGCCCTCATGAATAAAAAAAATTTAAAATGTTTAAGTTTTTTCGGCCAATTCCACCGGTGATTTGGCCGAAAGGACCAAATCTATTAAAAAAACATAGTTAAAGGACTAAATTGTTAGTTTTAAAAGTCATGGAGCGAAATTAACACGCCCCCTATAGTTATAGTATCAAAAGTGTAATTTGTTCATTTGTTAAATTAATAATAGTCCGTGCATCGCACGGGACACTTACTAGTTATTTTTACAACAAAAAAATGATTGATTTACCTTATTTTAGTCCTTTGTAGAATAATCAGTCGAATTTCAGTTAAAGTGCATCATTGAGTAACAGACCATAATTGTCACTATTATTGTCACTATTATTATACCTGAAGTATAATAATTACATTTGTTAGACAAGCTTTAAAAATTACAGCATGTTACTATGGATCTCAATATTTGTAAAAAAAATTTGGAAATAAAATTGAATTATTCAAAATCTTTATCAATCATTTAAGGGTGGTATCAGGTATGTACGAAGAACCGGGAAGAAGTATGATTCTGATTTTAGTGGTGTATTATTGGCTAAAAAGAGTAGAATATTAATGACAATATTTAGGGTGCATTTGAAAATTTGAAAAATGACTTCAAAAAAATGTTTTTTGAGTTTTCAGTGTTTTACAAGGGGAGGGGGTAATGAGTTCAATGGAAAATGATGTCTTAGTAAAAGGAAAATAGGTATGTTTTCGGGGAAAATAATTTCCTTTTTTTTGGAAGAAGTCATTTTCCAAGAGATACGCATGCAAAATTTTTCGGGTCTAATTTTTTACGGACTTTTGCGAGTCGGCCCACCAAACCTGCAGGCTAGGGTTCATGCAACCATAGCCCGCCCCGTGCGGGTTGACGGGCCGGGAAGACTTGTTCTCATGCAACAGTGTATTCTCGAACACTGTATGATGCATTTATGCATACCTAATGATGTATGTCGCACTGACCGCACGGGAAGACTTGTTCTCACAGGAACCAATATATATATATATATATATATATATATATATATATATATATGTGTGTGTGTGTGTGTGTGTGTGTGTGTGTGTGTGTGTGTGTGTGTGTGTGTGTGTGTGTATGTGTGTGTGTGTGTGTGTGTCAAAAGAGTGTTATTCACATAAGGATTTTATCAAAAGTATGAAACAATTAAAATTTTGAGATATTCAATTCTTTTCATTTCCTACTCATTTTCTAAAAAATGATCCAAACATACAAAGACAATTTTCCGTTGTGTAGCCAAACATTGGAAAGAAAAATATTTTCTAGAAAATGAGTCATTTTTCAGAAGTCATTTTCCTGTTTTCCAAACGGAGCCTTCATGATTGAAAATAGCATATACGTAGTTGAAAATAGAATATTAGTAAATAGAGTAGAATATTAATGACAATATTTAATGCTTGAAAATAGCATATACGTAGTTGAAAATAGAGTAGAATATTAATGACAATATTTAATAAAAAGAAAGAATAATCGGAAAATAAATGACTGAAAATAGCATATACGTCGTTTTGGTTATTAGTAGGTGGCGGTTACAATAATGGTATTATGTACAATATGGAATATGGAATTGTGGGCCAAAAGTAATTGGTAGGAAAGTAGTCCACGTGGGTAGTACGGTGGGGTGGGGTCCAAGCTCTGCCATGTTTCTGAGGCAGAGATGCACAGAAAGTCACATATGCAACCAAAATATATAACTATAAAATAATTTCCATTTTCATTCTTCCAAAAGGCTGAACTCCAACCCTAAGGGTCCCCCACACCCCGGCCCGACAGAACGGTGGGAGGTTGTAAATCATGGTGACTCAACTGAACATTAATCACAGAGGCTAGACCGGTCAACACAAATATTGCATTATTATCATTTTATTATTATTATTTTTTCATTTTTTTGGTACCACATAATGCATTATGTTATGAAAAGAGAGAAAAAAAAAGACTATGAAATAAGTCATTCTATTTTTTACAATTTGTATAATTAAATCACTAAATAAAGAATATGTACAATTGAAATACCTAACAATAAAAATATGTATAATTAACATGTTTTACTTGTTGCTTTCCTAAATTTCTGTTCCTGTAAGAACAAATCAAATTTCTGATGCGTAGTTAATTTCAAATGTCATTTCGTTAAAGAAAATCATTCTATATAATGTTGTAATTTGGCCTTCCCTTAATCCAACCTACTGGGATTGTTATACGGTAACGGGCCAATTGTACGTATGAACAAGATTGCAAAATGAAATGGAAGAGTAGATAGAAAAATAGAATACAAGATATAGAACTCAAGAATTCAACATCATCCCTTTATTAAGCCTTCAATATGAATGTATATACATCCATACAACTCTTCATAACCTTCAACGTAAATAATGAAATAAATATAAGGCAAATGAAAGGTCTTGTAATAATAATAATAATAATAATAATAATAATAATAATAATAATAATAATAATAATAATAACAATAACATATAACGATAAATAGTGTGTCAAATCATTATCTATATAATTAATATATTTTACTTGTTGCTCTGAGTAAGAACCAACTAAAGCGTTGAGCTAACATGTATTATGTAGCTAATTTCAAATGTTACTTGGCTAAAGAAAAAAATCATTTTATATAACAATAAATGACGTGTCAACTCATTATATTAGATTAGTGATTCAATAAAGAATTCTTCCATGCAATCAAACATTTAAAAAAAAAAAAAAACAAAAACAAAAACAAAAACAAAAACAAAAATTTTGGTTGATACCCAAGTTTAATATTTTTTTTTGAAGGTCAATCTTGCGATTGTATTAATGAATCAAAGCCGAAATAGTGTCAGGTGGGATAGCATCCCAGTACATAGCTTGATCCTGAGTAAATGCTAACGTAGCTAAAGTATGCGCATGTAAATTAACCTGCCTAGAAATATAATCCAAAGTAATACGATTAAATAACGACATAAACGTCCTGCACTGGTCAACTGTGACCCCAACGTACGAATGTATTGGCGCATGATGGTGCCTGAATATCGCTGCCAATTCCATGCAATCCGTGAGTAAACTTACTGATGTGGTGTCCCGTTCAAGTAGCCAGGACAAAGCCTCCTTGTATGCCTGAGCCTCCGCCATAAGTGGTGAAAAATAAATTGGTAACTTGCCATTCCTTGCTGCCACAAACGAGCCATCTGGAGCTATAATTACCATGCCGTAAGTAGCCTCGCCCGTGTCGTGCCGGAAACCCGCGTCCACATAACATCGTAGACCACCCCCTCCTGGACCATTCACGTGGTCCGTCGCCGGTGTCGGGTTGGTTCGGCCAACATGAGCAGTGCCGTACGCCTGCAGTGCTACGGTGGCTGCTCTGGCCAACTGGGTAGGCCGCATCATTGATCCCTTCCAGACAGCTGAATTCCGGGTTCTCCAAATATAATATAATACTGCTACCATTAACCGGATCTGGTCCTCCGTCAAGACTGTCATAACCCCTTTTAGCCATGTTGTAAACGAGTCTGCAACAATATTAATAATAGGTAATTGTGTTATATTCCAAACAAGTCTAGAATATTCACAGAGCACTAAAGCATGCAACACATCTTCATGATCTAAACCACACATAGGGCAAGTTGGGTCCACCTCCACCCTTTTAAATATCAAGTTAAGGGTTGTTGGCAAAATATCACATATGGCTCTCCACAAAAAAGTTTTCCATTTCGGGGGTACTTTTATTTTCCACATTGCGATCCACTTATCAAAATTCGCTGGATTATTCTCATAATCTCCCACAATATGCCTATAGGCATTCTTTACTGTATATGTCCCCTTTGGGTCACTCATCCAATACCATGAGTCCTCATACTCAGGACTAACAGGGATCATATTTATTCGCTCCACATCTTCAGGAATAAATAAATCAGACAGAATATGCGGATCCCAGG